TTGCAGAGTGTGAGTGTGTTCCTGCGCCTATAATGGTATCCTATACGTATCTTTCATTGGTATATAATATGCTTATGCATTACATCATAGAAAGCAATAAATGTCACATTGCTATGTATTGCTTTGAAAGCAGAAATGAAGTTTTCAGATAAAAGGAACATTCATTTAAAGAATCCAAATGATCTGTTTATTTATTTCATTTCTGGTATAGTATTCCAAACCCTCAGTAGCAGAGGAGAAGGTGGCAGGCTGGTTATGCATCTATTTAAACATGTGATCTTTCCTTGAGGGAAAGTAGAGTTTATTTCTTATCACATCCCTGTGTGGCATAGCTCACCATTGCTAGCTCATCTTACACTACACTGAATATTTTTGGTAGCTATTTAGTTCCTATCATTTCAGCATATCTTTGAACTGAAGGCATTTAGCCTACAATTCACTTTCCTGGGAGTATTCTCTGTTAACTCCGAAGATCTTATTTCTAAATAGAAATGGAAACAATGGTCCTGTAAGCTTACTCTTTGCTCCATAGATGTGTCTGATGGGATGTGTAGTATAAACCTATATATTTAGCCCTCTTGAATGTTATACTATATTTTAAATCCAGATATTCAATCTGGTGTCCACTGCTGTTTTGGACTAAAACTCCCAGATTCCACAGCCAAAGTAACTAACATTCAAGGTTGGTTGCAACGGGAGCAACTATTCAGATCATCTAAAAAGATGTTAGTCTATTCTCAATTGAAATAATCAAAGAAGCAAACTATCACCCCTTTGCTTATTTTAGACATTTCTGCTCTTGGAAGATAATGTTTATATTAGAAGTTCAATTCTTCTGGGAGAGTCAGAAGTAGAGTAAAATAATTAAAAGGAGAACAGAGACCATTGCAAAAGCGACTGCATATTCCAGACACAGGAAAATCCAACTGTGCCAGAATCTGGGAAATATAAATGCTCTGAAATTACCACCGACAATCCAGAACCAGGAGATTATCCTTTGGGAGTGTCAATCCATGGCTAGAGGATTGCAACATCCAGTGACATTGTGAGAGAACTGTTTTGCATTAAATGCCTTGGAAAGATCTTTCATATCAGTTGCCATCACCTAAAGTGGAGCAAGTGTATCCCTACAAACAAATATAATTGTAGTTGCAAGATGAAGCATAACAGGATCAGTGGTGAAATCCATTTTTTTTTACTACCGGTTCCGTGGCGTGGCTTGGTGGGCGTGGTGTGATTTGGTGGGTGTGGCTTGGTGGGCGTGGCAGGGGAAGGATATTGCAAAATCTCCATTCCCATCCCACTCTGGGGCCAGCCAGAGGTGGTATTTGCTGGTTCTCCTAACTACTCAAAATTTCCACTCCTAGTTCCCCAGAACCTGTAGAACCTGCTGGATTTCACCACTGAACAGGATGTACATGTAGATGTGTCTCCACACATATGAAAGGGGCCCTATTCTGAGGGATCTTTGGTGCTCTCTGAGCTTGGTTGTTTTCTTGAAGATGTTTTATTTCCCAAACTAGGTAACATCATCAGTGCAACCTAGTTTGGGTAATGAAAGATCTGCAAGAAAACATCCAAGTTCAGAAAGCACCAAGGACTCCTCATTTCAACCCTGAGCTACAAATATTCTCCTTTATTGGGACCCTATATTTTATTTCCCTGCAGTCCCAACCTCTGATGGGAACAAGCTATTTCTCTGCTTTGCTCCTCCTATTGTGATCACACCCAACCATTTGCACTATTATTAGTTCATTGACTGCTAGCGCCTGGGTGGTTTCCTTTAAGGGGGCAAATTTTTGGATTTACCAGCAAGAAGAGATAGGGCCAACCTCTGGACTATTAGACCAGGTTCTTCATCTCTCCCAAATGACAAAAGATGTTCTGAGTCATGATGAACTAATTTATTCAGCAAGCTTTCCACTGTGGTCAAGGCAGAAAAAGCAATCTAAAATAGATCTCTGTTTTTAAAGGAAAGCTAGTTTATTTCAGATACTTATTAGACAACCCCAAAGTTCCCTCCCCCCCCCTCTCTGTGTATGTGTGTGTGTATCTTTCCCAAGAGCCCTTTGTTGTTATAGGCCTCTCTGAAAATTCTGCCACAGGGTGATAAGATAGGCATCAGTGGTATTTATGGGGAGAAACCCCTGTGCTTTTCCCCAGCAAGGTTTTGGAGTCTTTATCTCAGCACTAAAAAAAAAAAAAGAACGAAAGGAAAGACAGAATATTACCAAGTTTTCATTCTCCAATTATCACTAGTCCAAACATTAGCAACTACCAATGATGGATCGTCAGAGTTGGAAAAGAAAGCAAATATATTTTCACCTTTCCAAAGGGCCAAATATTTCCAACCCAAGTCACAGAGAATTCTCAGCAAAAGGGGAGTTGTTGGCTAATAGCAGATTAACCAATCTCAACAATATATATATAGAGTGGGGAAATTGCAATCTATTAGGGATCCATCCTTACCAGGGAGCAAATGCCATCGACTCAAATAGGACTTCCTTCCTAGTACTGCTGTACAAAGTAAAACAAGCTTCCTTTACGTACCTCCTGCCCTTTTCTCCCAAAACATTTCCATTAATATAACATTTGGGATAGTTCACCAGCTTTACCTTTAAAATATGAGAGAGAAATTAAAGAAGGAAGGAAGAATAGTAACAGTGCTATCAATTTTGTACATTTCTACTCAGAAGTAAATCCTGGCATGTTGGCGGAGAGTTTAGCCTTATCCTTAATTACATTAAGTCTATGGTTAGCTATTATGCTTTAAAAGAATTAAGGACAAATTGAAGCAAACATCATCCCTACTCAGAGGGCGGAATAAATGTGCTTTGGAGAGTTCACAAACTGGAGCATCTGAATTAGTTCACTTTCAAACCATAAATAAATATATAAATGAAAGGCTGAAATATAGATGTGAATATGGCTGATAAGCGAAAGAGAAAGAGAGAAGGGGAGGAAGACTGTTGTTGTTGTGATAGTAGTTTTGAAGGCAGGGGTGGGTGGGTGGGTGGTGGGGATGAGTTGGTTGGAGGGTTAGAAAAGGGAAAAGAAAAACCAACAATTTCTCCAGCATAAAAATGAAACATCATATTAGTTTGCCTTTGGGCTTCATTTTTTCCCTTCTACATTATAACTAGTTATTGAACTCGCTAGAAGATCTAAAGGCCATTTGCGAGGAGACAAATTTCAATGGAGGTTCCCCATCAATAACTCCTTGGCAGTGACCTATTGGATCAAGTCAAACAGGGGAGGTGAAATTCAGGTCACGCTGTCTAAGCAATATTAAAATGCGCCCACTTTTTAAAAAGCCACTTTCAACGAGATTTGAAGAAAATTGAATTCCTGGGAGAGGGAGGGAGAGAGGGAGGGGTGAACGCAGTGGGGATGGGATACTGGTGGAAGAGAGGATGAGAAAATAGTTTGCATAAATATGCTTCCCCTCTTTCTTTCTTTCTTTCTTTCTTCTTTCTTTCTTTCTTTCTTTCTTTCTTTCTTCTTTTCTTTTGAATTTTAATGTTTTAATAATAGAGATAATAAATACTTACACAAATGAGACTGAAATAGGGCTTAAAAGATGGGGGCTATGCGAGTTTTTCGTCTAGTGACATGCTCTGGTTATTCAAATCATTTCACACCAACTCATTTTTTTTTAGTGACAAGAGATTTAAGGGGGAAAAAATCAATTAAACATTTGCATATTTCTTTGCATAAATTAGATCTACCTCCTGACATTGTGGGAAGCAAGAGAAAGGGGGAGGGGGAAGAAGGGCCAATGAGGAAAGATTTTGTGGTTTTTTTCATACCTACTAATTTGTGGTTGGTTTCTTTTAATGAAAACAGGATTATTTATTTGATATTCAAATAATGTGCTATAAAGAACTCTGCTCTGTAAAACTGATCTTCCTCTCCCCATTTCCCAAAAACATTTTTCTCACCATACCCACGCATACATAGTACATGCACACACATCTTCCCATCTAGTCAGTGAACAATCTTTTGATCCAAAAAAAGAGTCCAACTCCCTGATCAGGGATATGAAATATTTTGTTCACGTAGGAAAAAAAGTAATTTCTGGTGCATAGAAAAGCTTGGAAGTTGAATTATATTCTTGGATCTTTTCAGGTGTCTGCAAATAACAGCTTTGAGATGTGTGTGTGTGTGTTTTTTTTTTAAAACAAAACAAAACCCTGTGTCTGTGTATCTGTGTGTGCACGTGTATGACCGCCTTGTTCGGCTAGGGAATGGCCTTGGTTATACTTAACATTAAAGAGTATATGGCTCGCACGATAAAGCTTTGTGTGATGGGGGATTATTCATTTAATATTTATTGGGATCGCTAAACAGGGAAATAACAAACCCTCTGTGGCTTGATACTGCATTTGGGGGTGGGGGGATGCTTATATTTATTTATTTATTTGCCCGGGGAGGGTGGATCCAAGATGCACAGATTGTAAATGGCTAGAGGTGTGGGTTACCAAGCGGTCAGTATGGTAATAGCTTGCACAATGAATCCGCAGGGACAATGGGCACTTATTTTTCTTCCATACTGTCAAAGGGACGCTTTGTACTCAGAAATAGTCCTGGAAATGGGAAGCAAAAAGATACATGTTTTTCCAACCCGATTCCCTGCTTTGGATAGGTATTAAGAATCAGGAATGATTTCCCCGGAGAAGTTCTATTTCTTTTTGCAATTGCTGATCGAAGTAATTATTACAGAAATAATGTGTGTCACCCACGTTGTTTGTTTGTTTTTTGTTTTTTGTTTGCCGGTTAGGAGAAAGTGAGGCTAAGGAGGGAAGGATGCTAAATAGAAACAAAAGAGGTTTGTGCTCCACTATGGTTTTGTTTTGTTTTTTCCCACAGGGTTTTGGAGCCTTGTTTGATGGGGACAATAAGAAGAAAAGTCCCCAAACCCTGAAGGAATCAAGCTAAGCAAACACACTGAGGTTTTTTGGGGGTGGGGTGGGGGGGGAGAGGGGGTAATAACTCAGGAGAGAAAAATCATTTCTTAAAAAGAATGTACCTAAGTCAAAATATGAAGAGGAAAGGGAATAAATTGACACAAAGAAAGAAACCAAGCCATCACAATTTGGGTTGCAAAATAAATAAATTTGAAAATAATAACAATAAAAATAATCAAATGGTTGGCTCAGCTAACCAAGTAAACTCACTCCTTCACTAGGGAGTAAATTCAGTTGGTTTGGACTTCCAAGCATTCCTGCGAGAATTGGATGATATCCTGCCACTGAATTTTCTAGAGAGTTAAAAAGTTCATCTAAGTTCCAAAATTGCTGGCATGATCTTGCAGTGCCTGCCAAACAGGTTTATTCAAGAGTTCTTCCTTATCCCAGAACAGCCCTAAGGTTCTTGAGCCTTAATACTGAGAGGTGCTTAAAACTCAAACTTCTTATATCCCTTTCCTTGCCATCAGGTTGGATTCTGCTAACATTTATAAAAAGGAGACAAGGCAAGAAATTTCCTGATCTCCCTGTGAATGCAGTGGGATAAAATGCACTAGGAAGGTAAATGCCTGTGATAAGAGCCCTGAGATATGCAAAGTTCAGAAGAAACAGCTGTAAATGCTGCTTGCTGCAGCTGGTGGTAATACCAGAGCCAGGAGTAAAGATACCATCACTACCAGCAGCTAGAATACTAGGGTACTCTTTCTCAGGAAAAAAAAAAGAGATAAAAAAGACATTTTAAAAAACCTTCTGGCATTAATAATAATTGCAAAATCAGAAATCTTTGTCATTCCCCCCCCCCCCCCAGTTGACATGTATTTAGTTTACCTTCTATGCCATGATTTTAAGATGAAACAACCCACCCCATTTCCCAGTTTCTTTTCTTTTTTGCTTGTCACACATAGCAACAGATACATTAGACCGAATTGTTCCTATCCGAGCATGTATCAGAATTCCTCTCCTAGGGACAGTTATCTGAATCAATGGGATTTGGTACACTGCTGAGTTAATCTCACAATATTTCTCTTTTGCCTTTTACACTATGTTGGACTACATCACTCATACTCTGCTGCCAGCCATCAACTGATCTGGAGGACTCCAGGCTGAGGAAGGCATATTTATAATAAGGTGATTCAAGACTAATGCATTTTCAAGAATAGAATAGAATAGAATAGAATAGAATAGAATAGAATAGAATAGAATAGAATAGAATTTCAGTTCAATTCAATTCAATTCAGTTTATTATAGTCATAGACCAGAATAGAATAGAATAGAATGATATATACTGTATACAATAATAAATAACTTTCTCCCTCGGGAATATAAAACCAGCTTCAACCTCCTTTTCTTCTTCCAGAGTTAATCAGTAAATAACCATTCAAATGAAGGATTAGATACCCATAGATGAGTAGAGTACCATCCCAAACAGTACTTTCCCCTTTAATACTGCACATGAGAAGCATTCAGTAAAGGAACAGGGCTGGGTGGGCTTTACTAAGTACTTATTGGATGTACTCTTTTTAAATGTCCAAATGCAATAAATATAAGCTGTAGCCCAATTAGAAATCACTTTCTTAGGCCTAATTACCAAAGTGAATGGATTCCATCTTGCTAAAATCTACCAAAACTGTGCATAGCTAGAAAGAGTTTAATTTATGAAAAGGCTTTTTTTGGAACTCTGTAAACCTGCTTAGAAAGAAAGAAAGAAAGAAAGAAAGAAAGAAAGAAAGAAAGAAAGAAAGAAAGAAAGAAAGAAAGAAAGAAAGAAAGAGAAAGAAAGAAAGAAAGAAAGAAAGAAAGAAAGAAAGAAAGAAAGAAAGAAAGAAAGAAAGAAAGAAAGAAAGAAAGAAAGAAAGAAAGATTATTGGGAAAGAGGAGGAATATATTTCTCAGGTTTTTCTAGTCTCATAAAGGACAAACTCATCAGTCGTTTATATATACCCTGTAGAATCGAATTTGTGTGAGCACCTCTATTGCAAATTCGTCTCTAGGGGGATATATGGATGATGCAAAAAGCTTGCTAATGTTCTGTTTTCTTTGATTTCCTCTTACTTGCTGATGTAATTAAAAATCTCAAATGTTGGGGGGTGGGTGATGCATGTATATTTTTGTGTGTATATAATTTTGATAGATCTAATGGAGTCTCATAACTAGATGATGAATAAATAGTTAAAATAAAAAGAAAGGTAAATAGTTCTCCTGATAATAAAAGCCACAATTATTACTTTTTTCTTGGAAAGAAGAAACAATCAGATTGCAAACACAGGCTTGCACAAGCCCTTGTCAAAGAGAGAACATGCATGAGAGGAAAAGGAAGAGAGAGAGAGAGAGAGAGAAAGAAAGCGAGAGAGAGACCTAACCATTTCAAGTGACTGATTTATGGCGTTTTACAGCCCCATAAAAACTGCTACAACCAGCCCAGAGCCTCCGACACCGCTGGCACATTTAGTCTAATAAATAAAACATAAACAGTTAACTTTATGTGTCACTTTTATTGTTATCAAGTAAAATATTGCAATGCCCTGCAAGCTAT